ATAAGGTGCAAACTACATATAAAACATTGTATGTAAATACAGGGTAAATTAGGGGCAATCTCAGAGGGGAGGTGCTAGCATTAAAAGAGAAGTTGCAAAGAGACCGTTTTCGGCTTGATGTCAGGGAAAACTTCCTGAAAATTAGAACTACCCCAAAGAGGAACAGGCTGCCTGGAGAGGTCCCAGGGGGGTCTTCCAATGGAGTCTGGACTACCATGTGTTAAATCCATTACAGTGGGAATTTCTTTTCTGTATGAGTTCGAATAGATGACTGCTCACATCCCTTTCTTCTTCTTGAACTCTGCGATTCTGCAATTAGCCACAAACCTCTGGTTTTTATTCCCACTTGATGGCATCTGTATTAGGCCAGACAGAGGGAGACCATTGTGACAATTCATAAGATCATGAGGTCTCTAGCAGAAAGGGACTTTAGAAATATAGCTCAATACCTTCATTTTACGTAAGAGGAATCTAAGAGGAGTTTAATGATTTGCTCAGACACACAGGTAGCAAGTGGCAAAGCCAGGATTAGAACTGAGGTCTTTTAGATCCAAATTAAGTGTTCTTTCCATTACCTAATAATGCCTCTGTTTATATCTGTTTAGTTCATTCGTGCTTCCCAATTAGTATGACCACAGGAGACAAAATGTGAGTGCTTTCTAGGAAGAATCAATATCACTGAGGCTGTCTGCCACGTCAGACAGACATATTCAGCTAAAAGAATTTTAGGTGTTGTATGAGGCCTTACATATACAATACAGTACACATTCAGCTGAATCGTACAAGTGCTTACCTCACATAGATTGGCCCCACACTGAGACTGCATAGGCTGGGGAAATCAGACATGTCAAAAAGCCAACAGATTAGAGAAGGCCTTTCAAAATGGTGTCCTGTGAAAGTCTGATGGACCATGCAAACTAGCGTAGCTTGTAGTAGTGACAAAAGCATGATTAGGAGTTAGAAGACCTGGGTGTGAATCCTAATTTTGCTACTCAATAACTGTGATATTGGGCAGCCAATCAGTAAAGCATTTATTAAGTACCTACTATGTGACAGGCACTGTGGACAAGTTACTTCCATTCTCTGGGCTTTAGATTCATCATTTCTAAAAATGAATGGATTAGACTAGGTGATCATTAAGGTCCTTGCCAATCTTAAATCTATGCTTCTGTGAAGATTTCTTGATGCTAGATGAAATTACTTTCTTTGATTCATGTGCACTTCATAAAATAGGAATCCTCTTCCTTCTACTTCCCAATTAGCTTTCTAAAATCCAAATTAAAAACCAAATGTACATTTGAGTTTCACTATTTGTGCATAGTCCAGACTTCTTTATGAGGTTGTTAAACGCTAGGAATTTAGGGATCATGTTTAATTTATCTTCGTTTCTGCTCCAGTGTCTGTCATATTGTTCAGTATATATTGATCGATAAATGTCTGCTAAAGTTGAATTATTTGTAGCAATTTTTTTGGAGTATGAAATGAGGTTTAATTTCCTCTATTTTTCTACCAAGTTTTAATGTAGAGAAACTGTGAATTAAAGTTTGTTGGTCTTATTCAGAAGTTTGCTACTAGCAACAATGTAATGCAAATTTCTGAAATACTGTTGGACTTTTAGTAGTTCATTTTGTACACTACCACTCAGAGGTGGTACTATGATCTAAAGTTAGGGATATTTATAATGACTGTGCCCCTCATTCTGGCCTGGAGCAGTTTGATAGGATACTGGTTTCAGATGAAGGGTATGTGAGTTTTGAAGTGGATACATTCTAATTGGTATCCCTGGCTGGTCCATGCTTTCCCAAAATTCTGAAAACAGGAAGTGATGATTTCCCAGTGAGACAGAATTCAGGGGCAGACCCAATAACTTAGATACCACTTCCTAACTCCTGCTTTTTGATCTTTTTACTTCTCTGGGATTAGGGACACAGGATACCCAGGTTGGTGACCCAAATTTCAGTGTCTCCAAGGAACAGGAAAATGTTTTCCCCCTTTTGATTGTAGGGAAATTCTTTGTGACTCCACTTGGGTTTTTCTTGGCAAAGATCCTGGAGTGGTTTGCCATTTCCTTCTCCAGCTCATTTTACAGATGAGGAAACTGAGGCAAACAGGGTTAAGTGACTTGCCTAGGATTACACAGCTAGTGTCGGAGGCCAGATTTGAACTCAGGTCTTCCTGACTCCAGGCCTGGTGTTCTATCCACTGTGCCACCTAGCTGTCCCACAGAAGAAACTAGCCATAAAATAATTTGATGCTTGGAAAGGAGAGGCTTGGGTCAAGGTTATTCAGTGTCAAAGGTATGAAGTATTCCACCCATTCTTGCATACATCATGACCCAAGCTCCCCCTCCCCCCATTGCCTCATCAGTGAGTCTTGTCCATAGAACTTTCTAGATGGAGAAGAACCTTAGAAGTCATCTAGTCTAGCTTTTCTTCTAGTTGAATAATCTTTTTATCTTCCCTTAATGACTTTGGAGTCAAGAAGACCTGAGTTCAAATTCTGCCTCCTTATATTTATGAGCTGTGTGACCCTGGACAAGTCACTTAACCGCTCTCAGCCTCAGTTTTCTCATCTATAAAATGGGGTTAACAATAGCACCTGCCTCTCAGGGTTGTTAAGAAGATCAAGTAAGATAATATGTACATTGCTTGGCAAACCGTAAAAGCTATATAAATATCATGTAAGTATCATATCATAGCATTTTTATTATAATTACTCATTTCCTTTAGGATGTGTATAACTCATGGAGATTTTTTTATGTCATTTCAGGCTTCTTAAAGCCACTAGGAAAAATCAAATGCACTAGTTAATTTTGTAAACTAATTCATACTAAAGTATTACTGACTCATGGTTTAATGTTACTCTAGTCAAGGATATTTGTTATAATGTTATAGTTAGAGAACTTCTGACATCCAACAGGTAAGTGGCCACCTCTGAAGAAGGTTGATCCTAGACCTAGAGAAAAAAACATTTCATTTTTCGTGTGTTTTCTTTTCTGGAGGAGAGACTGACTCCTTGGACACCCTCTGTCTCTCATTTTCTCCAGCCAGATGTGATAGAAGGAGCACTGGGTTGGGAGCCAGGAAATCTGAGTCCTAGCCTCAGGTCTACCACTGACTAACCCATGGGTATAACCTTGGGCATGTTCCTTACCATCTCTGGGTCTCAGTTTCCTAATTTGTAAAAGCTGAATATGTTGAGCCTGGTGATTTCAAAGGACTTATCCAGTCCTGGTATGCAGATGTGCTCTGGAGGTAGTTATTTTCAGCTAAATAATGGAATCACCAACTCTGGCTGATTCCCTTCAACAAGGAATGATTTTAGGAGCTGGTCCTGGGAAGCTAATTTGTACAGGTTTTATCTGGAATCAGAGTCCCTTTTGTCTGCAGTAATAAAGGGGTTCAGTCGTCTTTTCCTGTTGTGGGGTGCTCTGTATAATAAAAACTCCATGACTGTTCCTTCAAAAGTCTTCTTTGTCTGAGCCAAAGATCCAGACTCGTCGTTGTCCTCGTCTTGCCCTCTCCCCCCAGAAAAGAAGCCATCTCATTCTCCACAAAGAGACATTCCATTTTGCCTCGAGTTTGATTTTAATTTTAAAACAGCCTGTTGCCTGCTGGGGTTAGTGGTGGCCAAACAGATGGTTGGCACTTTTTCCTGCTTCCTCCAAGACAAGAATTCCCTCATTTATGCCGAATTGTAACACACATTGACTCCCGCTCCATCTTCCACTTTGGCATAGGCTGTCTCCCTCTCATGCATGCAATGTACACCCTGCTCTCTTCCACTGGGTAGAATCCTTACTTTACTTCAAGGCTCAATTTGGGTACTATCTCCTATTCAGGTGGCCTTGAATTTAAAAATATATATGAATATATGATATATTAAATTAATATGTTATATATAACACATAATATATAACAATATTATATATAGTATATATAAATATATAATATATTACTATACACAATATACTGTTTAAATTAATTAAATGTCTAATTATTGTATTATATGCTATATAATATATAATGTATTTATATATTAACTATTTCTATATAATTGATTTCCTCTATAATCTCATGTATTTTATTTTGTGCATTTAAAATTATTATTCTGAGAAGGGGTCCATACACTTTACCAGATTGCCCAATGGACCTAGGACACAAAAATGTTTTAAGAACCGTCGTCCATGAGAAATGGATCCTTTCCTGATTTCCCTAATAACTGGGGTCTAGATGGTGTTGTTCTTTTCTGACTCATATTATCTAGAACTTAAGAACAAAAAAACTATTACTAAGCACTTCTGTATCAGGGACTAGGCTAAGGACACAAATACAAAAAAAGATATGGTCCCTGTCCTCATGGAGTTTTCATTCTATCTAAATTCTATATCCTCCCTAGTAAAATGTATCCTTCTTGAGGGCAGGGACATTTGGGTTTCCCCCCAATTTCGCCTCTGTATTCCACATCCATCACAATGTAGGGGGCTTAATAAATGCTTTTTGCATGTCTCCTGCTCTCAAAGGCTCAGATTGTAGTCTTGGCTCTGCCACTTAAGTAGCCATGTAACTTTAGGCAACTCCCATGACATCTTTGTAATGCAATGTGTGAGAAAAAAGGGGTAACAATATCAGATCAAGCTAATTCACAAGGCTATTTTTGGACGGGATGAGATTTATGTTTACCACTCTTCTCTAAATTCTGAATTTTAAAAATTCTAATTATTTAGTAGTTTTTAAATGGTTTCCCCAACTGTACTGAGAGGTCCCTGATGAAGGGAACAACGTCTCTAATTTCTTTATCTCCCCCATCATGTAGTCAAGAGCAAGGCTTGCCCCAGAGCTGGCGTCCATTAAGTGCTTGGTGGCTGGTCGTCTCCGCAGGCTGGCCAGTGTTTGGTCCCTGGCATGGTCGGCCTTAGTTAACTCCTATGACTATTTGCTTCCCTTGCAGGCACGAGGTTCTTCTTTCATGCCCTTTCTTGATTTTTTTTACTCCCCCAGGCACTTGTCCGCCTGCCCCCTCACATCTCCCAGTGTGATGAAGTCTTTCGGTTCTTTGAGGCCCGGCCAGAGGATGTCAATCCCCCCAAAGAGTAAGTACCATGACCAGCCCTTCCTTTGATCAGCTCTGTGGCTTCAGAGAGATACCAAAGTCCATTCAGAGCAGCCTGGTTTGTGGGTTGGAAGACACCCTGTGTCTGGTTGTTTGCAGATGTTATAGGGGAAGGTAACAACAAAGGGGGAATGGCTCTTGATCAAAACAAGAGAAGAGGGAAGAAAATCCAGACAAACCCCAGCCTACTCCTTCCTGGTTCCCTGCTGATAGAACTAATTAGAGAACTTCTCCTGTTTATTCCTCTTACCTCCTTATCAGCCAGGGGTCATTAAACCTCTAGGAGTGACTGGTGGGCCCAGCAGGAGAGGAAATAGGGTTCCTAAAAAATGGCTGTCAGTTCTTAATGGGTGCCTCAGCCTGCCAGTTGAGTCCCTTTGGGCTGTGAATGTCCTGTCTGGCATGACTTTTGGGGAAAGGAGGGATGGGGCTGAATGGAATGCTTGTTTGGGAGGCTTCTTCTAGTTTCAGTCAATCAGCAGCCATTTAATAAGTGCCAAACGTGTGCCAAGCATTGTAGAGAAAGTGTGGAAAGTCTGGTCCTTTGGGAGTTCAGGGATCCTGCTGAGAAAGAAATGCCAGTCACAGTCAAGCCATGGCTGTCCCAGATACTACAGGTCTAAGGTATAGAAGGCTGGGGAAATATGGTAATTATAGGGTTGACTTTTGTGTTATATTATTTGACTGTTGGCTCCTTGGATGTATGTTCATACACACATACATACACACGTGTATAATACATATATGTCTATATGCACACATACATGCATACTATATATGTCATGTACATATACACACATGTACATTATGTGGGTATCTACATATACACACATGTATGCATATATGCATACACATACACATGTGTATATGTATGTATATATATATATATATATATATATATATATATATGTAACTTTCAAATCCAGGGTTAGAAGGGAAAAGGGACAGAAGTGATCATAAAGGAATTAATTCAGTAATTCAGTAAACATTAACCGCCTACTGTGTGTCAGACACTGCACTAAACACTGGAGATATAAATAAGAAAAATAGATAAAATAGAGAATTTCAAATACTTAGAATTAAAAAGCTTTTACATGCGCAAAGTTCATGCAGCTAGGATAAGAACAAGAACTATCAAGTGGGAAAAATATTTGCATCAAATATCTTGATAAAAGTCTGCTATCAAAATGTGTGGGTAATTGACACAGTATATGTAAGATCAAGAGTGCTTCCTTGGTAGATAAGAGGTCAAAAGACATGCACAGTTTTCAGGAGAAATGCAAATGATCAATAAGCATATGAAAAATGCTCCAACTGTTAATAAGGGGAATTCAACTTAAAATAAATCTTGAGGTTAACTTCATTCCTATCAAATTATAAAAGATGATAAATGAAATAGTATTTCAGAGGTTTGGGGAAGACAGACATATTAATATATTTGTAGATTTCAACTTGGACCTTGAATAGAAAAGTTACCAAGTTATTGATACCCTCTGACCCAGCAATTCTACTCTGAAAGGTCAATGACGTGCAGAAAGTTCCTATATATGACGTACTCATAGCAGCATTCGTTATGGTAGCAAAAAAAGCTAAAAACCAATGGGTACCCATCTGTTGGAATATGACTGAACAAATTGTGGTATGTCAATATCATGAAATATTATTACGCCCTAAGAAATGCACAGACGAAAAATCAGGAGACACGTAGGAAACATATGTATGGACAGTGAGGTAAGAGAGCCAAGGGAAGAAGTAGAATCACCACAGTGATTTAAAGGGAAGTGGGATAGGAGACTCTAAAAGACCTCAGAAATCAGATCAATGCAATCCCCAGGCTTGACTCCAGAAGACTCCTCCTGGTTGGCGGGGAAATGGGGGGCTACAGGTGTGGTGTAAGACATGCACTCTTAGACAACAGTCTACGTGTTGATTTCTGTTGCTTTCTTATACTTTGTTACAAGAAAGGGATATATTGAGGATTGGGAGTAGTAATTTGGAAATGATGGCCATTAAGGGGGGAAAAAAAAGCTTGGAAAAAGTGGAAGTGGGAAAACTCTGGTATTGTGATTTCCTAGGAAGGAGGTAATGAATGAAGGTCTCAGTTAGGAAATATTTGATCAGCTAACCAGTATATCTTTATCAAATGGGCCCAGCCTCCTCTTAGGAACTCTGAGGGAGACGAAGAAAAAGTTTGTCTGCTTGTCTCTTAAGAAGAATTCAGTCTCTGGCTGGGGAAATGTAGTTTTATGGGCAGCCACCAGTTCTTGGCTATGAAAGAGCAGGAAGTGTTCTCACAGATTTTCTCTCTCTTTAGTTCTGAGTTAGTCTTTGGCACTCCCCAGGTGGAGGGTAATGCCCATGGGGAGAATCAATCCCAGTGGAGATAGATGGTGGATAGGAACTGAAGCCATGCAAATCAGAGGATCCCCTATTAGTTGAGATGCATGTGGTATAGTAGGAAAAACACTGGGCCAACGGGCACCTGGGTCCTAGTTTTTTTCTACTACTAATGAACTAGATGTCATTGAGCAAATAGCTTCATGTCTGAGCCTCAGTTTCCACATACATAAAATGGGGATAATCTTGCTAAACGAGATGAGATGTGAAAGTGCTTTGGAAACTGTAAAGGGTATTAAAATGCCAGGTATTTTTTTTGCCTTCTATTAAAGGTTGATGACGAGGACCCCTGATGCAATGAAATCTCAATGGGACTGCATGTCTCATCTTGATTTACTGGTTACAAGTGAATTAATTAAATAGAATTAATTTTTTAAAAATCTTGCGCTTCAAGAGGGGTGGAGAGTAGAAGAAAGAAGGAAGAAATAAGGGTTACAGAGGCAGATAGAGGGAAGCACCCACCTGTACAGAGGAAGCCAGGACTCACTGGGTCTGATGGACACTGCTCTCTACAGGAGGCATCAGAGCTGATAAAGAGAACCACCCAAGTGTAAAACAGGGCCAGGTGCAGCAAGGTGGAGAGCAGAGGAGTGACACTTTCAGAGAGCTGAGGACATGGAAGGGTTTCATTTCCTTTTATATAAAGCTTGCTTAACACCAGAATTATTCTGTTTCCCAGTAAGGGCGTGTGTTTAGATACCCCCAAATGTGACTAGGAGATAAAGCTTGTGGGTTCTATTCCTGCTCCCATTCTCCTACTCAAATGACCAACACTCATGGTCCATCTCTTTCCTTCCTTTATCTGATCACTCCATCCCCATGTGCACACACAAACATACACATCCCCTGGAGGGAAGGTGAAAAGAGCCTAGGAGAGAGTGACACTCAGAGCCGGAAAGTCCTGCAGCTGAAATCTCCTGGGCCAGGGGCACTTTGACCTTTAAGGTCATTAAACATTTTGAAACCTCAGGATGCTTTAACATAGTTATGAGTCTTTCTCTCTTCTTCCATGACCATCAGTATTTGCGACCATTGGGAGTTTGGATTTTCTCCTGAATCTGACTCTGTTACTCTCAAACTTTGTACTCCCCAGTGGAGCTGAGAATTTCCAGTCTTGACTTTCCTCCTAGCACTTTGATTGAATAGATACTGATTAAGAGACTGGAGTGGGTGCTCACAGAGACTTGGTGGAGAGGGTGCTTGAATGGCAGGTCCCTCAAAATAGAAGCTTCTAAAGGAGCTTATAATCTCTTTCCAATCTCCTATTTCTGCATACTATTGTTGAATCAGAGATCAAATGCCACCTCCTCCATGAAGACTTCCTTTGTGCTCTCAGCTGGAAGAGACTCTACCTCATCTATTTTCATAGCATTTTATAATCCTTTGATTCACTTCTCATATTTTACCTCCTTCTATGTGTGTATCTTATCACTGCTTACTAGTATGGACTATGTCATATTTTCTTTATCTTCACAGAGTAGGTGTTTTAGTAAACAACATAGCTCTATTGAATGAATGAAGGCACAGGAGAGGAAGAGAACACTTTTCTATATTAATCATAGAGTTTCAGAGCTCACAATCCATTTCATTTGCAGAGTGGAAAACAGAATCAGAGTACATAAAAGCCTTGCCCCTTAGGTCAGACAACTAACTAGCAACTAGCAGAGTAGGATTAAAACCCAGATCTAAAGTCAGCTGCCCTGCAGCACTCACCTGTCACCTGAACAAACCATACAGCTGCAGCTGTAGTCTCTCTCTGTCCCCAGCAGAAGCATTTCTAGCCACTTGGTAGCTTGGGTTCCTACAAGGTTCTCTAACGGAAGAGGGAAAGCCAATTTTCCATAATGAGGCAGGTAGCCTTAAAAAGCTAATGTAGAGGGGGCGTTTGGGTGGTCCTTGCCTAAAGGAGGAAGAAGTAATGGTATAGTGATTCTAAGTAAAGACCTAATTCTCTATTTGAAAACAGGATCTTAGATCTAAAGCTGTCATTTAATCCAACTCCTTTTTACAGATGTGGAAACTGAGGCCCAGGGAGTGAAGTCATTTGCCCAAGATCAAACACATAGTAGATGGGATTTGAACCCAGTTCCTCTGACTCCAGGAATTAGTGTTCCTTCCTTCTTTCTTTTTTTAAAAAAATCATTTTGAACTTAACAAACATCAGCAAACATGAACACATCAATATCCAAAGAAGAACAGAAAAAGAGGATTGTATAGGAAACTGTCTCTATCATGTATGGCCCATTTTTAAAAAGCGCATATTAAATTTAACACGATAATACCCGTGCTTCCCTATCTCTGTCCCCTTCTGAACTTCTTTCTGTTTTTATCTCTGTATTTTTTAATGTTTCACCGATGATCTTTTCTTTCTTTTGAGGCAGTGTTCTTTTCCCTGTACCACTGCAATTTCATCGATGTGGATATTCCTTTCCCTGTTGCAAGTTACGGTCGATCCCCTCTCCCTCTACAATTCTTGCCTGTGTCTTTCTATTAATTCTCTGTAGAGGATTTATCCCACATAATGGATCCTTCTTCTGTTTCTTAAAATCTCGGCCTCCAGACCAATGCTCATCTCTTACTTCT